ATCCAAACAATGTTGTTGACCTAATGCTCTTCCAGTTATATTGCCATGTTGCATCTAACCCCAATGGAAACGCAGCATCCAGACGACTTTCTACAAGACCAGACGACTTAACACAAGTGCTAGTATATATATATATACATCATCAAAAGATCAACTTATTATTGAGCATGGTAACGTTTTTTCGATTCCAGAATGTTCCCCATCATATGGAGAGGCCTCTGCTCACATCTGCTCTTCACGAAAGGACAGCCGCGGCCCTGGCCCCAGTTGATGCAGTCGGCATTGCCTCAAAGCATGTCTGACACCCAATGCCTGGGGCCCAAAACGGCCCCAGTTTCGGGTTCCGTGTTTTGGAGTGGCTTTGACGGACAGTCCATATTTACCCTCTGACGTCGGGGCACGAGGGAGAGAAACATGCATGATAATTTTTGAAGTGTGATCTTCATTCAAGCAGTCAGACCGTCTAAACTGATCTCTCTCCATATATGTATACGCCATCGACTCTTGCAATCTTGCACTTAAATCTCTCACCCGTTTGTACTGAACGCGTTCATCGGCTGTGGAATTTAAATTTGCTCTGCGGCTCTTTGCGGGACAAGTGACTGTATCGAGCGAGGTAGTGTCCCATGTCCTGCAAAAGAAGTGTTGTTTGTCACTCTTCACCAAATCAGAAAGGTCAATGTGACATGGGGATGTCTGTGACATCTTGTGACATCTATGTCCATTTCTCGTCCATTTGTTGTGCATGTGTTTTTCATGCTTTGCGAGGTCACCATCTTCACCTCGGAAGCCGCGTCCCACCGCCTGGGCCGACCAAAAAGGGGGGCAGGATGCAGTCGATCGCCCTTCGAAGAGGCTCTTCCCAGTCTACACCTCTAGACCTCACACACACTGTTTGGGGTCTCTTGCCTTGGTCCAAAAACCCGGTCCTCGAAGGAAGCCAGGGTGATACTTGAAACCGCATCGCCTTGGAAACAGGTGTCGAGATGTCGAGGTGTCGACAGGTCGACCCATCGGCAGGTGCGAGTTGACCACTGGGCGACCAAAGGACCTGTACACGAACAAGAGTTCATGAAATACTAGTACTGTCTACACGTGCTCAGACTGATCTATAGGAGACTGATTTACAGTATGATCTATAGGAGTCTCATGTCTAGAAGTCTCTGGTTCTCTCCCCCTGTCTCTCTCTCTCTCTCGAGGAATAGTTTTTGCGTGTGAAAGCCTGTGAATGCTAAACCAGTTGGCGGCACACCATGTGCATTCCACAAGTGTGTTTCACAAGACCAATGTCATCACCATGGCGCAATGCTAAGCTGTTAAATCTAAAGACGTCGACCGCACAACAGGGATCGGTGATCATGACGGATACAAGAAAAGTGTGTATATATATATATAGATAGATTTACAATGCTTCATATAAGTTGTCACAACACTTGAAACAAATAAAAGACACTCGTATCATACATATATGTAATGTAAGTATGCAGCTATCCCAAAGCATTCGGAACCGTCCCTCGTCCGCCACGTGACCATCTCCGTAGGACATCACGTCGTCGCGCATCACTCGGGTCTCGTGATGAGAGTCACGACCATGGGGAGGCCAACTCATGAGGGGCAAACCTTGCCAAAGCTCCTGGCGCATGGAGGTTCTGCGAACGCTTCGTTCCAAAGGAGACGGTTCTGGAGCCAGGAGGTCTCTCAACGTGCCTGTGTGCGTGCATGTGAGTATATGTGCATGTGTGTGTGTCGATGAATGAAGTGCTATATATCGCATCTACGGAGGCCACTGAAAGCAACCCTCTCACTTTCCCAAGTCTGTGAGCAGGAACCTGGCCAATGAAGATGTCACGGCTGTCATGGCATCCATTTGTGGACCTGTGAATGTTTAAAACTATGCTCAAGCTTGAACAGTCTGAAGTGAGCCACTTGGCAAAGGGTTTGATTTCCATCTTTTCCAAATGCTTCTTCTGCCAGGAGAAGTAGCTTTGGAGAGCGAGAAATCTGGCTATATTAAAAACATATATTTACACTCCTATCTCCCTCAATGCAGAGTGTATATAAATAGTACGGAACAGGCTCGAACCATAGCAAAGACCGCATGGGCCTCGCCAGGAACCGAGAAGGGCCGCGAAAAAAAAGAGCTGCGCACTGCCCACTCGCACACTGTCAGGTGTCTTCATGAAAACATTTGAAAACTGATTTACTGGGATCATGGAAACGTGCCACCCGCCAGTGGCATGCCCAAGCCCG